ACCCGACAGTAACATTTGATATAAACATATTAAATATTCCACTTTAATATCTCCACTCTAAACAAATAACAGAAGGTAAAATATGTCAGACGACATGCAAGTAAGCTACACTAATAAGAGTTTTGGGAAAAAGTTTGTGGACTATTTAGGTACAACTAATTTTAATTCATTGCGGCTGTACCTAAAAAAAATTATTTCTAGTAATGTAAATAAGAATAATTTTATAAATTATAAAAAAGCTACTGTTAATTACTTATTACATGAACTTTAATTATATATTATTGTAGTAAGGGGAAAATAGGCGAGAGGGGAAGGTAATGGTTTTTTAGGTGAGACACGTGTGTGTTATAATGAACACGGTACATAAAATGACAAGTAATGTACGACGTATTCAACGCGGGTTGATGACCTGCTTTAACGAGCAAGGGACGCGTCTGGCGAACCGGTTTCCAGTGTATTCGGGGAGTGATAGTTCAATAACCCCTGCTGTAACGTCGGTGCTCGATAATATATCGTAGTACGCTTTGTACGCAGTACGTGTATGTGTGTGTACATATGTGTTCAAGTGTCTGTAAATTGTGTAAAATTATGTTGGTTTTGTAGTTTCCGCATAAGATCGCCCTACTACTGTATTGCGTACCTATCTGCCTAATGATACTTGAATTACCTACTCTTATTGTATAAACATTCAAACACTTAATTCGCTGCAGCTGGTTCTCCCAAGTCGTTTGTAATTCTTCGGGGTCGTGTTCGACAGTCGATATCACGATGACAATATATGTATTTTGGTTTATATAATCTGTAGAATTTCGTATACAATTTTCTAGCTGTGACTGTTACCATATGCTCTCAAAATCCCTACATTCATGGCAAGAGTACATATAGTCGATTCGCCAATCGAATGTAATTTATGTTAACGAGCATTTTATTGTAATAAACACTTTTGTTCTAGAATAGGAGTTAAAGATTCCTACATTCGTAGTAAGAGTACGTATAGTCAATTCGCCAACTGGATATAATTTGTTAAAGAGCACTTATTATTATATTCGTGTTCCAAAATATAAATGTGTAGTAATGATGTAACAGGCCTATAATATGATGATAGTCATAGAACCTTATGTTTTTAAGAGATCAATGGATAGGTGAGTGGAAAAGATGAACAATGTCAATTTGGCTGATAGAGAGACAACCAATTTATACAGACATACCGAATGCTAAAATTATCCAATATACATATATTGAATACCCATATACACACAGTGATGAGCACTCCATTGGACAGTAATGGAAGAGAGTCGTGATGTTGACTGGCGTGGACGTTGTGCATGAGTCTTCTCCTGAAAGGTACTGTCGGCGAGTCGATTCTCTGTGGTCCTTACATAATATGATTTTTGTTGATCCCTTCTTCTTGTGCCTCGATTAATACGTGATATTAAAGTATTGATATATTTTCTTATTTCGTGTGGTGCGACAAAGGTACAGCTGGTAATTTATGGTTTTGTTTTGACCAAACTTCTTGATCGGAGAAATATTGAAGGGGTCTTGAAATATATAATATATATAATATATGTATACGTACACGTGTAATGTACGTATGTATATATGAAAGAATGTGTTCATGATTTTATGATTTACGGTGTTTATTGGCGCTGTTGATATTTGATTGTGTTGTCTCCACTAACTAAACGTCTGGTCGGAGAGGTGTAGAATATTATTTATGTGTTGCATACGCTGCGTGTATGTAAAAGGAGTGCGTATAATGTATATATGTACCTAATGCGTATGTATGTATATATGTATATTGGACCACAAACATTCCATAATATGGTCCGTTTTCATTATTTGTCTCGTGTTTTATTCCAAGTCTAAATATTGTATATTACATTATGTAGAATTTAAGTATTTAATATTGTTGGTAATCACAAATTTAGTTCTTCTTTGTTAATCTCATCATATTTATTTTTCTTTGTTTTTTTTTTAAATATTATATTGTACACTATCAACTCATCTACCACGCCACAAGCATTGCTTAATGAGGTAGATAAATTAATAATTTATTGTTACATTGTTACACTGTATGTCATTTCGTTGTTTCGATAATAAATTATTATTTTTAATTAAAAAAAAAAAAAAATAGAGGCTAAAATATAAAATAGTATTTTATTTTATTTTAAAGCATGAAACATGCGTAACCTATTTACTAACAATAAACATTGTCGTTGTACTCGTTTAAAGTTTTCAACATTTCAAAGTTTGCTAAAATAATAAAAACATCAACGTGAATTCAATCAACCTAACCAAAAATTAACTTCAGTTACCTTAAATAAGTTTTAATAATTTCAAGAATTTAAAAAAATATCGTTTAAAAAAGTATGTAGGTCAAAATGTTATCTATGTTTGTAAGTCTTTAAGTTTCTAGTTCCAAATGCATAAGTAAAGAACTCTTTAAATCGCTTTTTCTCAAGACTATATTTTTTCAATAGTGACAGTATTGTTCTAGTGGTGAGCTTGACAGACGACATTAACACAAAACGATCATATTTTGTTCAAATTTAGGAACCCCAGCAAAAAATTTAGAGAAACGGAGACAAAATGGCAGAAGGGTTCACTGGAGACTTTTTGACCGAAAATTCTGAACTCAGGTTCAACCGTGCTTTAGAGGAAAAATATCGACGTTAGGTTAATAAAAAAGTTGTATATTTAATAGAAAATTCTATACTTAAAATATAAAATGATATGAAATGTATAAAACAATTTATACACAAAAAATATCTGTTTTTAATAAAGAACCTATAAAATATATAAAATAAAAATCCTATATATTTATATATATATCAAATCTATATTTGTTAAAAAATCGATATTAAATAAAAAAATCTGCATTTAATAAAAAATCTATAGGTTAGGTTAAAACGAGTAGATAAAACGATTAATATTCAAAAAAATAAATATATTTAATAAAAAATCTATATAAATATTAAATCTATATTTGTTAAAAAATCGATATTAAATAAAATAATCTATTCTTAATAAAACAATTTATACTCAATGGACAAAATATAATTTATATATTTATATATATATAGATTTATTATTAATTACGGATTTTTTAACAAATTTAGATTTTTAGGAAGATATTTTTACTTTAAATTGACAAAAATCTTAAATTAAAAAAAAAACAATCATTTGGTTTTGTTTTATTCATACGAGGTTTTTTTTGAATACATAATTCTTTAATAGAATATTTTTATTTTATTTTATTCTATCAAGAATTTTTATTAAAAATATTTTTTTTTCAAATATAAACTATTTATTAATACTTTTTTATTTTATATTTAAAAAAATCTTAAATTAAAAATCAACAAAAAATCTTATTGAAAAATATATATTTAATAAAAAAATTGCATATTTAATAGAAAATGTATATTCAAACCAAAATCTTGAATGAATAAAACAAAACCAAAGGATTGTGTTTTTTTTTTAAATAAAATAAAAATTTTTTCTTAAAAATCTATATTTGTTAAGAAATCTGCATTTAATAAAAAAAAACCGTGATACAAAAACCCTATATTAAATGAATATTATATTTATATTTCTTAAAAAAATCTGTATTCAATGAAAATCTATATATTTATTAAATATATATTTTGTCTTTTGAATATTAATTGTTTTATCAAGTAAAGAATTTTCTATTAAATATCGTATCTGAGCTTTGGCAGACTAGCAAATTCCAGGAATGGACTCTCAAATTCACGAAAATTCTCTCAAAATATTGGAATAGATATTGTCATTGATTTTGGGTCAGCGGTAAGTTATTTGTTCATTTTAAGGGTGTTGGGGCCGGTCATTTATTAAGGAGTAAAATTTAGGCAATTCAATTCACATTTTGTATCAGCCTAGCGAGGAACGTGCATGTGTGTGAGTATGTAAATCGATATTAGTGTGAGTGCAAGCGCTGATAAAGATATGCATGCACAAGTCAGTGCTAGACTTCGATGACTATTATCGAAGCACTATTTTGATGAACAAAAATGGTTTCACAGGAAAAACTTTCATGCCTCAGTATAAATCCTAACCTAACATAACCGTACTAAATTCCGATGAATAAAAAAACCAAATTTAACCCTTTTTAAATTAGCGTATCTTCTTCCCATAGGTCTAATCTACACACCGTCATTCATGTATATAATAAGATATATTTACAAAAAATAATAATACAAATCAACAAACATGCCCGATTAACAAATAGCAACCAATATAATATAATACACCATAGAGTAAATAAAGACAACGGCATCGAGTTCAAATCCCAGACATCAATAAATAGTTTTTGCAGTTTTTCTAATTATTCGGTTGACTTTTTAAAAATTTTCTTTCGTAAAAACCTTCACCTGGCAATTACGAACATCTTAAAAAAATTTGAGCAAAATCGGACCAGCCGTTCTCAACTGATGCAATTTCGAATTTTTTGTCTCCATTTTTATATATATAGATTGTACGAACAACATTATTTTGTTAAATCTATTAATTTATATTATTACGAAATATTATTTTTATTTTTAATTAAACAACAATTAGGTTTTACAATATTATCACTTAAAAATAATACATTCAAATTATAAGGAAATTATATTCAAAATATTATACGTATGAAACTGCCCATTATAAATAGCTAAATAGAAAACAGCCCTTGTGAATACAACTTTTTAATTGGATCTTATGAAAATATTTTGTTACTTTATAAGTAATACCTACTAGGCAATATAGTTATGTATTTAATTCGACCGAAATCTGTTTAATTAAAACATATTTTGATTTATCATATTTTGTTTTAATGTTATGAAAAAAAGTTTGAATAAATAGTTGGGAGTTTGGGACACGTCAAGTTGGCCAACTGGATAACTTGCAAATCAAACGTACCGGTAACCACCGCTCAAACGCCGCAACAAAACATGCGACGGACGATTCGCTTGGTCCGTCTCCAAAGCGTAGTGCGTTTTTTAGATTTGGCAGCGGGGTCGTCCACGGCTGCCATCGCCCGGCTTGCGTCGTCGACACCTCGGCCCCTGTCGGCGATATCCGGTTCCAGTTCGGCCTGGCCGGAACTCGCCGTGGGAACGATTGGCGGTCTCGTCTCGTGTTGTCCGGTCATCTGACGGCGGCGGGACTTCCGGAACCTCGACAACGTTGTCCGGGACGAGCACAAGGTCGACGGACGTTGACGGGTCAGCTGGTGGCAGCGGGATTTCCCGGTATACATGGTCAGCCGGCTGCAGGTCGAACAGATCGACGAGGCCCATCGACTCCGCGTCAGAAGGTTCATGGCTGCTCTCTGCTGGCGGCTGTT